ACATCCCGCGGATCCTGATGGCACGAAAATCCATATTGAGTTGCATTCTTCACGCCCTCAAACGATTCCGGGGGTCCAACGGGCGCGAACCGTGCTTCTCCTACAGGCTGCGAGACATAATCGATCCCGAGCCAGGCATCCACGGGCTTTGGCAGCGGCTTCTTGGTCAGTGTCTGCGAGATAGTCGTACCGACAAAGCTCCCGTAGCCGGGAAGCGTGACTTGGGGCGCGGCCTGTGTCGAGGCGACACTACTCAGCCATACGAGGGTGGTGAGAGTCTTTTGAGCCATGGTAAGACGAGTCATGACGCTGACGTAAAGTTGTGAAAGCAGCTCAGAGCGAGCAGCTTCGTCGACAACAAGAAGACGTTGCAGTTGGAAATACATTATGTTCTATTCAGGTTAAAAACAGGGCATGTTCTACATACAGACTCCGAAGTCGGGCCTTGCCAGTATCCGCTTGGTAAGTATACGCAGTATTACCCTCTTCTCCACCTGTCTTGGCCCAGTTGCCAAGAGATACAGTGGCACAGACCTTGGGACCTGCTCGATACGGTGCTTTCGATAAAAATTGTGGGGTGCGAAATTGCGTGACTAGCGATTCGTTATCGTCAACGGTAGACAGGGCCGGTACTTTTTCTATGAGCCGACATGACGGACGTTGGAAAATGTGGAGCAAGCCATGGAAGGTATCGCGACCGTCAGCGCTGCTTCGGGTAATAATGTCCCCGAAACCGGGCTTGCTGCTGCCGATCCCTCGTATGCGAACCATACCCAACTCCGAGGCATAGACCTTACCGCTGACTCTTGCAGCCAATCCCCGACTCGAAAATATTCAAATATTGCCCCAGAAATACGCCCCGTTGCGAGCGCTCGTTACGAAGAATGTCATCTTCGAAGACGGGCCTTTGTGCTTGGAGTCTTACACAAAGGCAGCCTCTGACGTCAGCGCAGCCAATCCGATAGAGCTGTTTTTGGTGCTTGCTCAACTCGGTAGATGCAGAGTTTGACATTCAACCTTGCGAGCTCCCACCGTCAAATCCTTTGTCTAGTTTCTTCAATGCCTCCTCGACCTCCACCGCTCTCTCTTCCCCACCCCTGAGGCCTTGCACACGGGGCAGATCACGCATGACTTGCTGTACCAGATCCTCAAGTGCTTTTGGATCCCTCATGCTACCTAGCGTAGCAGCATCGACTTTTCCTTTACCCTTGCTTCCTGTATCTGAGCGAGATGTCAGTGGCTGCTGGGGCTGAGGCTGAGGCTGTCGTTTTCGCAACATGACCTGCCCTTGTTTGTCCATGTAGGTTTCGTACCCTTGTTGATCGAGCACTTCGTCAGGCACGCGGACATTGACGGGTGATCTGTTGTTGCTCTCGCTTGCCGCTGCAGGAGTGCTTGAAGAAGATGATGAGTTCGTCGAGGTCTTGGCTTTGTTGATTGCATCTTGACTATATCTCTCAAGCGCATGAATGCAGTCTTGGTTTTCTTTGTTGCCTTCCATAAGGAACCGCAGACACATGATGGCATGCTCGCGGATATATGGGTTGTGCTCGTCATAGGAACAGCAATTCAAGACTGCCTCAATACCACCCAGAGGACGGATCTGGTCTTGTACTTGTTTGTTCTTCCACACCAGGGAGCTCAGCACAAGTACGGCAAGCTTCTTAAGGTTGCGCCATTCAAAGTCTGAGGGCTCATCGGCGGCTTCATCCATGTACGGCCTAGGTGATGGTGATGTTGGTGGAGGAGCATAGGCCTCTGCAGCTCCTGCTGTAGTGTCATATGGTCGCTCTACAGCAACCGGTTGGGGTTGTGATGACTGTTGTTGCTGCTGCTGTGAAGCATCTCCCTCTGCTGGTGCAGTTGTGGGTTGGGCATGTTGAACATTCCTCAGAGGTGGTGGTGACAACTGACCCTTAGGAATCGCTGCATCGAGCTCTTTGAGCAACGTAACTAGCTCGTGAGAAATCTCCCAGTTACTTAGCATCCTCTTCCATGTTTCGTGTTCAGTCAGGATAGCGAAGAACTCCAAGTATTGGTAGACGCCCTCGTACATGCGCTCCATATCCCAGAGATTGAGGGGAAAGTCCTCAGGTTGTGCATGTCCAGCCCGAATTTGTCCCTGGAGAAAAATGAGTGCGCAAGTCTGTGGAATGATATGCCGCCGGAACTCAGTGAGCAGGAAATTGACCATGTGAACGTCGCCCTGATCGACTTGTGGATGGTTCGCTTTGAGATGGCCTTTGGCGGGTTGGGTACGAGCTTGCCTCGCGCGGAAGATGTTGGTGAGAAGTTTCATTATGACGGCCTGAGCTGGCGATATAATATCCTTGGATCTGGTACATTGTCAGTTGAATTCTACCAAGTCATCCAGTGGACTTACTCAGATTCTCTGAAAGCATGATAGGCAAATGGTAGAAGCTGGTTCGCAAGGATGGCTTCCATGATTTTCACCATGAACTTGAAGTAGAGCTCTTCCTCCCTCAGGTCCCAGGCAGCAACAAAGATCAACAGCTCGCGCAGTAGATTTCTTCCGTTGTCTTGGGCAAGGAGAAGATGGCACCGAACACCATGCATGCTCCTCACGCTACTGAAGACAGTCGGATCCGAGTGATATCCAGGCTGTCCCTCTTGTGGCTCAACGATGCCAGCCATGATGATCATGGGTAGAACTTCGATCTCAGTGGGTCCCAGAATCAAGGGAACATCTGTGAGTAGACCTCGGCCTTCATCTCCAGGAATGTCGTCGTAGTCATCGTCATTATCATCGTCGTCCTCTGGTGGAGGGGAAGTTGGAGAGGCTACGTCACTGATTAGCCCTGATGGTCGGTCGGGGTCTGGCTCCAGACGCTTGAGCAAGTCTTCTTTGCCATTCTGAAGAATCTCGGCTCCAAAGGATGGCGGGTATGTCACACGGAAATCGATCTCACCTGCCGGGGGAGACCGTTTGATGCTGGGATCTAGTAACGAGTCATCCGCTGCTGGTTTCGGGGACTGCTTCTCCCCATCCTGGGCTGACGATGGTTGGTCTTGGCCGGACTCGTCCCCTGGTAACACGGTAATGGATGAGCGCATTCGGTCAACCTCAACCTGGAGCTGGTTGATGCTTTTGGCCAGCGCTTGCACGCTCTCCTCATTCTTGGCATGCTGATCGACAACCTTGCGGTATGTGCTGGACTGAGTGATTTGGTCCCGGTATCTGGCAACAACGTCTGCATAGAGCATGTTCCATTTCTAGAGAGGTCAGTAGGGACTTCGGAAAGAGAGACTAGTCTCCACTTACGTTCTTTTCTTCTTCGCTCATGGTTTGCCATCGTCTTCTGCACTCAGCGGCAATCTCATTTGCACCAGCCTTGACTCCGTGCTGTGTGAGAGCCTTCTTGACGTCATTTCCAGTCTCACCAATGTAGAGTAGGAAAGGGGACGAAGCGGGTTGTTGAGGTATCTTAAACGTGTCCAAGCTCCGCGCTGCGTGACTTGGCAAAGGCTGTTCTTCTGGAGGTGGTTCTTGATCCTGTTGCGGAAACTCATCCATTTTGTATTTCATATCGGCGAAGTTGGGGAGCTCATTGTCCAGGTGGCTATCAAAGAGTTCAATCCAGAGCATGAGTTTGCGCTGCTCATTCTTGGCGATGAGATTGTTCAGGAATTGTAGGCAAGTGATCAATAGCTTCTTATATGCATTGATGACGCCCTGCCATTTGTCCTCGTCTTGAGTTCCCGCTTCGCCGTCGTAGCCCCTCGCCGTGACACGCACACAGACATTTATGAGAGCGAATATGTCCTTGTCGAACAGCCTATCTGCACTGAGATTCTGTACCCGCTCTCCATGGACCAACACGTTGCGCGCAATGCACACAAGCTGGTTCAGCCGTTCCAGATCTCTCAGCAGGCTCGGTGAGTAACTAGCTATGAGGGGACCCGACAGCCCCTCATATTCTGGAGCTGCAGGATCTGGCGCAGCAAAGCAGCGACGTTCGAGCGAGGGAACAGCGGCCTTGAGTACGCCTGCAAGCTCGTCCCAAAACTCCCACGAGAGGCCGAGTTCTTCGCGCAACTCCAAGCTCTTGCGCGACTCCTCCAGTGTTTTCTTCACAATGTCGCGCTCCAACATGCGCAGCGTATCGTCTCTGATATAGCCGGGATTGTGAAAGTGAACGGTATAGGGGGCGAGTGCGAGGCGAAGACGGGTAAGGTATGGCCTTGCTGGTCTGCCATTTGAGCTCTCCGGGCGCTCAGACTCGCCCACGCTCTCGGTACCGTTGACGCTGCCGTCGACCATGTTGCCTGTCGAATTCTTCACAGTAATTGCTGGCGATATCGCGTGCTGATTCCAGTCATGCCACAGCTGGTGTTGGGCGAGTAGGCAGCGGTACACCCATACACGGATAGGGCCTGGAGCGCGTAGGATGCGGTAGAGGTTGTTGGAGGCCAGCTCTTGGGCAATGTTGTGGTACTGCGCCAGCGCTATTGGGGCAAAGGCAAGGTGGGCAGGATTTTTGGAGGCGTCTGAAAAAGGCGAAGGCAGATCAAGGGCAGGAAGCAGCGAATCGGAGGGCGTGGAGAAGCTGGAGTCCGAAGTCATACTATCACTTGGGAGGCGTAGAAAAATTACGATGTCAGGCACAGAGGACCCCCACCATGCCTGCCCCGCCTGACGTCGTTTCTCCACTGGGCTGGCCTGGCATACTATGCAAAAAGACAACGCCACATCACTAATCAATGAGGGCTTCCCATAGGATTTCCAAAAATGGTATTGTATTCATTCGTGCCAACACAGATTGTTGACAACAATATATATGTATGGAGAAAAATGAACCGCGCACAGGCACAAGTAGCCAAACGCGTCTAGTGGCTCCAGCTCGATCTTGGAAACAATGTAATGTGAGTCTTGACGCATGGTAATGGCATCTCTCACGGACATGAATTGTTCCGTTTGTTGTGTCACGCATATAAAAGAAAGAGTGGACGACAAGCCGGTGCTGGTAATGTATAGAGACTTACATACCCTCGGCCTTCAGTCTTGCCGCCATAAATCTACTTACCTTCTTCGGCTTTCCATTTCGCTCTTCCATGATTGGGTTCTCCTCGTCCTCTTCTGTCGCCTTGAATCCACCCTGTCGCTGGATAAATCGATTCCGCGCCTTGTGATACTGGGCTTGGATTTCGCGATTCAAAAGAACCTGGTCAAATTCATCAGGCGCTTGAGGCTCTGACGGTAAGGGGACGTGCTCAGTGATTGTTGAAGCTAGTGTCTGACCAGCAGGCCCAGTCGGTACAGGCGGCGCTTCTGGGACAGGAGGCGTAGGCAGTACTTGTGGAGTGTTTGCTGAAGCACGGGCACTCTTGAACTTCGAGATCTTGCCCGGCTTGGGAGGTTCTACTTCAGACGGTGGAGCAGGTGCAGATCTCTCTACGATGGTGTCTGCAATTGTTGACACTGGTTTGGCCGCCGGCTGTGTTGTTCGTTTTACTTCTGGCACTGGCTTCGGAGCTTCAGATACGTCGACTTCATTCGCGAATCGTACGCCCTTCTTCTTTGACTGTTCGTCGCCACCATCGTCTGTTGACTGCGCAGCGGACTTTGATGTATCCAAGGCCTTATCAAACTGCTCGTCTTTCTGTATACGCATGGTGCGAATGTCGCCAATGTGCTCGTCTAATGGGCGATCGTCCGGCCGCGGTCCAATATTTTCGAGCATGCGAGCACCCAGCTTCTTTTCAAGCTCCATCATCTGCTTTCGATATTCCTCAGTGATGACGGGCCTTGTGCTCCGACCGTATTCGTCTTCCTCTTCTTCATCCTCGGTGTCGTAGTCGTATTCATCGTAGTCTGATTCGTCATCAGAAAATGATGCAGTAGGCTCATCGAGGTTCAGCTCTGCAACGACTCGTCCAACTTCTGACATGCCATACTGCAGCATCTGCCTTCTAAGCTCGGCATCTTCTGGAGACTCGTCTTCGGGTATAACGGCCGACGAAAGGTCTTCGTCGTCCTCGAGCTCGACTGCTCTGACACCCTCTGGAAATTGCACCGACGCAAGGTCTTGACTAACTTGAGGTTTCAATACCGGCTTCACCTGTGGCTCGACGTCGACCTTCTCAGCGAAGGACACAGCTTTCTTTGGAGGAGACTGGTCCGTTGCAGTGCGGTTTTCGACAGGTGCCGGTTCCGACGAAACAGTAGGCGTGGATTCCTTCGCAGGATCTGAAACTGGCGGAGAAGTGGACGAAGGTTTCGGTGGTTGTTCCTTTGCTTGCGCCGCATTCTTCTTCTCCAGTTCAGCCTTCTGAATCCCAGCCTTGCGCAACACATCCACAAGCTCAGCAGCAGCCTTTCCCGTCTGGTTGACTGAGCTCGATATCTCGTTACCTTCTTCGTCTAGCTCTTCTTCAATGTCCATCATTGGTTCGCCTTCTTCATTGTCCATCCCAGGCTCTAACAGGACATCGACACCAGCAAGCTTCTTCTCGGCGGCATCAAGGTTCTTCTCGATTGTAGCACTATTGGTTCGCACATAGTCAATGCGTCTAGAGATCTTGTTAACAACTTCGTTACCAGTGCTTTCGGTTGACGATTTCTTGCGGAGCAGCTCGTCGAGCTCTTTTTCATTGAGCAACTCGAGCTCCAGTTCGCGTGCCATCTCACGTATTTGTGAGGGCGAGGGGTCACCGGCAGCCTCGATTTCTTCTTTGAGCGCCTCATACTCGGCCTCCCAGGTGGTCCAGTGATTCAAGGACTTGCGGAGCTGGTCAACAGTCTGTTGAAGCTGCACTCGGCGGCGTTCAATATCCTCTAGAGTAATTTGTGTCGAGGCTGCCATTATGTCGGTGTTGTCCTAGAGTAGACGAGGTGAAGGAGGAAGAAGAAGGGAAAGAAAAAAGTTGGCGGAATTTGTCTGCAGAAAATGGCCGAGCTTGGCAGTTAGCTCGCCCCGCAGGGGGACCATGCGCGCGCATCCAGAGCACTGGCGTCTTACAATGCTACAACCAACTTCGTATGTAATTATTCACAAAAGCTCGCCATCGCATTATTTTGTTCACTCGTATTGGGAAGGCAAGCCATGCTGTCGGTCTAAGAGAGCAATAAGCGAAATCCTACTGCTGAGTAATCAGCCCAAGACAAGTTACTCGCCTGCAAAGCTTCACATCACCTTCGCCTCACCTCCGCCATGTCGAGATCCGGACGCGCAACAGGCGCGTCGAAGCAGGATAGCGGTGCGTTTGCCCTTTCTAAATCTCTATATAACCTATCTTTGCTGCATGCGCCGCGCGAACCTCTCGCTGATGCTCTCTCAGGCGTATGCCCCGTCTGCAAGGCGTCGGGTTACCTTGACCCGAACATGCAATTCAAAATCAACCCTACGTGCTATCATTCCATGTGCGATACCTGTGTCGAACGTCTGTTTGGAGGCAACAAAGGAAACAACATATGTCCTGTGGCGGGATGCGCAAAGACATTGGCATACAGGAACTTTCGAAGGGCAACCTTTGAAGATTTGAAGGTGGAAAGGGAGGTGGATCTGCGAAAGAAGGTTATGAAGATGCAAGTGAAGTTTGCCGTGCACATATTGGTGTTGGGCTAACAGCAGACCAGTATGAACAAAACAGAAGACGATTTCGAGACGTTGAGAGATTACAACGATTACCTAGAGCAGGTCGAAGAAATGACCTGGAACCTTATCCTCAACATTGACGTGGATGCGACGTGGAACAAACTTCACCGGTTCGAAGCACTCCAAAAGGCAGACTCGAATGCCGCTACTACAAAGCGTGACGCTGGGAAGAATGGTGGTGCCAAAGGTACCGGCCAGAAGGATGATGGCGCTGATCTCATGTTCCGTGGACTCAAGAAATATGTTCCGCCACCAAAGGAGCCGCCTTTCGATCCATGGGGAGGATACAATATTGCTCCTCAGTACTACGTACTTCAAGACAATTACGATGTCGACTGGTATGCGCGTATGAAGAAAGACTCGGCACATCTTGTTGGAGGACACAGTCTGCAGGACTACTGCGACCGCGCGTTGCGCGAAGCCTTTGGAGGCTTCGGGGTCTTTATTGAGGATGAGATCGCAGCAAGGGATGCTCCGTCCATGTCTATGGATGCAGATGTCGGCACCGAACATGCAGCAGCGGCTGCCATGAGTGGGAAGGAGGCGAACATGGACGACATCTTCTAATCTTCTTCTACTATGATACCCGGCATAATGCCAACATTGGGCGGCGTTTGCAAAAGATCAGTGTATCAGTACTTGAGAATACGGCGTTTTGTATGTAACAACATTAATGAATTGGATTTGCCATACCTCATGTTCTACGTTCCAAGCTCCTCCGTCGAATCTCCCCTGCTGCTCCATGATACTCTAAATCATCATACTCAAACTGCTCTTCTGGTAACGCATACCCCTCGCCACCTCTAACCTGCCTTGTCCGCGCAGCGATCGGATTAGGATTGGCTTCCGGGTCCTGCGAGTTATCCAGAGCTCCCTTCCTCTCACCCGCCATTCCATCTACCGGCTGAAAGACGCCTCTCGTCCTTGCTCCCTTCAGCACCTTAACATCTACAGCCACCGCCAGCAGCGTTGCGAGCAAACCCAGCAGCGCAAAGCTAAACAGCGCCTTGTACTGCCTACATATGTTCACTCCTGTATCAGAGTCCCAATGCGAAGTATCACAGACACCCGCTACCGTGCCGGAAGTCCATCTCGCCAGCAGCCCAAACGACACAATCCACAGCACCCCGAGTGAACCGTTGACGGCGATATTCAAACCCGGATTAAGACCGTGGTATAAATGCAGCACAATAGTCGATGCAAGAGCGACAATAGTCAGGACTGATACCACCATAAGCTATTCCCGAATTAGCCATCGATCTCTTTTCTATATCCCTCCGTCGCACCAGGCAATGATGCCCAAAAGGTTTCAATCAAATCAACATTCTGGGATAATCGTACCAAGATAAACGTCCAGGGCAACGTATACCCATCCCGCGATAGTTCGCGCAAGAAATACGACATAATACCCGCTACCACGAGCGACGAGACTAGTTGTGCGCTTCGTGGAAGGTGGAACCAGAGGAAGGGGTACGGCGTGGGTTTCACGCGGTCTTTACGCGTCGCCATGGCGGGCGGGCCGGGCGGGTAGTGAGAGCAAGAGTGCTGCTTCTCGGGCGGTAGACACGGGTTCAAAGTAAAAAAAACAATCTACAGTTTGTGCGATGGGGGAATAAATGAGTGTAGGTGGTGGGTTTAGTTACACGTGGGATTCGGCCGCTGGGTGGGCTATTTCTGGTGCCGCGTGTAGATCTTTGATGCCGAGATCGAGCCGTGACGGCGTGTTATGTTTGTTATGATGACGGCATTGAATTCTAACAGACAAAACTCCCGTAGAGATCTTGCTGGAAGTGGTTTTGATTATTGACACTAGGGGGAATTATCTCATGCTAATGCAGAATGTACGCTTCGTGACAACCTTGCGGTCAAGCTGTGCCAGCTATCACACCGCATAGGTAGGATGTTGAGATTAGCGCAGCAGCTAGTGTCGGTATGAAGGACGCCAGTATGTTGAATGTATTGTATGCTATTGTTGGGTTCGCTGTAATTTACACATTACTTTTATTAGGATTGACCATGCAAGTTGCTTACAAGAGTAGACACAGATGCAGGGTATGCGTCAGATGTTGTATAATAGTGCAAAATTCGCGGAAAGTCAAACTTGGGATAAAGCGAGTAGAAGCTAGATTTCAAAGCATTTAGTCTAGAAAATCCTGGATACTGATACATGGAGGGGATATTACCTTTAGCGTGTATTTCCCAGTGCAACCCCATGGCAGCCTCTTCTACCGTCTTTCTCTACGAAGGTAACGCCGGCCATTTTATTGGCAACCCAATAAGCCGTCTCTCGATGCAGATTTTTCGTGTCAAAATCATAGTCGTCGCTGGGCATCTCTATCTTCTAGTTAGTCTGTGGTCTTTGCACATTTTTTAACCGGACAAACCTAGAGGCACCTTCAACCTGGGATCTTCGGCAACCAGTCTTGCATTTCCAGGCGCAGCCACAGAAGAAAACCCGTTCGCAAGGCTTTGGTAGATCGCAAGCATATTCTCGATATTCTCATCCACAGCATTACCCGATATGAGCTCTTTGACCAGACCACAAATGCAGACTCGTGCGAGGTGTTTGAATAGTCTATCTTTATTAAGTGCTAGCCCTTCGGGGAAACCTGACTTTTGCGGAAACACTTCTTCGTATCCAATTCTCGCGTTAGGATCTACAGTCTCTGCAACCAAAAGAAGGTGGTATTGATCGGGAACCGAGGATTGGAACGTTTGAACCTGTATATCAAGCTTGACATTTGGACTACTACTGCGTTGACGGAAAGCTTCTTCGATTTCTTTTTTTACTGTGGCACCGAACTCTTGGTATTCGTCTTCTGGTGCGTGGGCGATGATACTAATAATTGTTACCTCCCCTCGTTTCTCCAGGATGAAAGCCTTCAGTGGGACTTGGAGTGGCTTGACCCAGAGCTTTATACGTCCAGGGATCTTGACATAGTCGGTATGCCATCCTTGTTCGTAACTTGTGTCAAGCTTGATGAAATCCTCACCAATCCCAATAGCCTTCAGAGTAGGTAGCAGGACTTCTACCACATTGTGGTAAGATGGGGCTTTGACACAAAGCGTCCCTGCTCTGATGGTTAACCCAATCCCAGCCTTCGGGATGATCGGTTGGATGTAGGCGGCAGCTCCCAGGTGTGAGAAAAGGATGTATGGTATCATGGCAATCATGAAAATTGCGGCTGAGCCCTCAACAGTGATATCTAGATACTTTCCAACTTCGATAACCTCTGCTTTGGGGTTCTTGTGCGGCTTGAAAACAAGCTGTCGGCTTGCAATCGCGTTACCTTCTACGACTGCTCCAGTGAGGTATGCCATAGTATCAATGGCGATAGTGTGTTCGACACGTAGCCCACCGATACCTGGTCTGTTTGCGCGTATAGAATTGATCTGCACATTTCGATTGAGCAGGGTGGAAAAGGATAGGACATCCCGAATTATTCCGCCGCCCCCTTCGAAATGGGTGCATTCCAGGACTACAAACTCTTCGGCCGCCATTTCTTTAGTATTGAGCAGGCTGGTGATGTGTACAAATGACCAAAAACTGTATGTATGCACAAATAGGACTGATAAAGTGGGAGCTGTTGGTACAGATATTAGCGTCGGGTAAAGTAGACGCATAAGTGTCTGGTCAGGAGGTAGTAGCGAACTTTCGAATGGATGGGTCCTCGCAAGGGCAGTGGCTGTTACGATGGCACGCAGACGCCTCTAAATGTACATGAGCTTGCATGTGATCATAGAATGCATGAATGACGTGGTACAACACTTTTGCCTGGTTGATTGCCGTGTCTGCCTTCCTTGACGTGGGGTACCTCCTGCAACCTCAGCCACATCAGCCTGATGGATATAAGTAAGGCTATGAGAAAAGACAGCGCGGCAACTGCGCTATTCATCCACACAACTACAGAGATGGCTCTGATATCCCTTAACGTTGTATCTAAGGGCAATATTGCGCACTTGCCAACAACTAGTACAGATACCGTTCAGCACTGCGCGGCGCCTCAAACTAATGCAGACGCTCGTTATTGGCTCCCTGGTCCTCCCCCGCGTCGAAGAATCAAGGAATTGAGGCCCCCAGAAAATCTTCCTTGCATCAAACATCATCTAAAGATCCCGGTCCGAAAAGTTAATCTTTGGTCATTCCAAAACCGAACCAGTACAACCCTGGCGCCTTACTTCGATGCGCGCAAGGCTACTAGCAGTCTTGATGGTAATACTCTGAGCACAACACAGCGCTACCTCTTTCATGGCTGCGCGAACGAAATAAGCCCAGCTTTATTAGAATCTTTCTCAAGATATGGGCCTTCGATCTACTTCTCGCGGCCCCAGAGCTACTTCTCTCGCACCCCCGCCGTTTATTGGACGGAATCTCTAGACTTTGCGTTTGCCTGGTGCGTTTTCAGTGAGACTAGTCACTGGTAACCTAAGCTATCGCCCGAGACAACGCCATTCGAATGTCTGATCTATGTTTCGAGAGTGGAGCAAAACATCCTAATTGACGAGTCCCATTGCTACATGGTTCCCACTCCCTCCAACTATGACGAAGAACAGCAGCTTGTGGAAGTAAGCAAGCACTGGCCGAGAAGTTTGTACATAACTAACTAACACATGTAAAATAGTGGTGTGATTCAAACATGTCAAAATCAGCGGAGCCAGACCGTGTGCCGCCGCCATACTCCAATCGATCAGACTGGCCTTTGATAGGAAGCAGAATACCACAGGTGAGTTTAATGCCTCTGTCAGATGGCCACGTTCCACTTATAGTCATATCAGCATACTATGGACTCATTAGCCTCTTTCAACGTCCGCGAGTTTCCGGCATTGGGTACAACACGCGTCCAAGATATCGTCATGTACGCAGCTTGTGACGAGAAGATGAGTTATAGATTAGCTTCGGCAGGTGTCGAGGTTCGACCCAAGCCCACTAAAAGCCCATTAATTCGCTGATATAATTATAGATCTTACACCTCGTTTCTCTACCACCATCTAGTCATCGGGCGATGTTGTAGAGTGTCAATAGTCTGAAGACATATTTGGATGAAATATCATCCATCATCCTATTCTCGCTAGCCAGGGCATCCCCAGTGTGTATTATCCCAAAACGTGAATTTTCCCACGATGCGATTTAAGTGTCGATTATTAGTGTGGATGTTGGGAGGTGTGACGGTACATCGGGGAGCTGGTGGGATGGTTCGCGTGCACGTCCTCCTCCTATATCAAATAACGTTCTATTAATACATTTTGGCCGCCAGAATTCAACCATTTCAGCTTCCGTATAGGAATCGTCAGCGTAAATTCCACCTTGATGTTTTCCTGGTGCATAAATGACAGGCCACATAGGGATGTAACAGAGTTCCTGTCGTAATGGTCAATTTTTGATACGCCCCATAACGAACCACAATAACTCACGTTAAATGCGCATTTGGACAAAAGATTATAGCATTACTATACGCTCTTTTACTCCACTTAGCAGCCACTGGAGATCTTTTAGACTCCATCCCTCAATGGATCCTACCCTACGATACGTATCCTTGTTAGAATCGTCTCGCTGTAGGACCCATACG